ATCAATGTGGAGATTAGTTCATAATATGTAAAACTTGTGAAAAAATTATGACATAACTACGAGCATTGAAAATGAGAACTTAGAACGAGTGGCAATTACAATTTTTTACTATTCTTTTAAGTACAACATGAGGAATAATTGTATGGCAAAAGCTACTTGAAAGTAATCTATTCAATCATATTAATTAATATTAATAATAATAATGAGAAAGAAAAGTTGAAAAATGTGACTGTCCGAGTCTCGTACCCTTTCCTTCCTCGTGAGTGATAAAATATTTGGAAATGTGAACCATTCCGTCGGGTTTTTAACCGTTAGATCATCATGTAATCGTCGGGATAGTTGATCTAACAGTTAGGGTGTCTCCAATGGTTAGCTATTTGGCTAGCTATTATGACGTGGACAAGGAAAAAGTAAGAGAGAGAGTAGTCACTAGCTACTAACAAATAGCTTATCTATTTCACGTAGCCCAAGATCATGTGAGAGGAGTATGTGGGTCCAATAATGTAAAATAGTCATTTTTCTTATCTCTCACATCCACGTCAGCTGACTATATAGCTAGTAATAGCTATTACCATTGGAGATGCCCTTACAAACCTTGACGGAATAGTTACTATATCTAAACATTGTCATAAAAACATGCCAAAATAATACAAAAATAATAAATAAATTGCGAGGGAACTGGGTGGTTAAGGGTCTGATTTGATACAAATATATTGGCTTAAAATGAATTTTTTTGGTTAATTGGGGTTAATTTTGAAAAATACGATATGATTAATTGTTAGTGATATTTTGAGTTTGTATCAAAATAATATTTAAAAAATAACTAAAGTTGATTTGATTTAAAATATGATAAAGATGGTGTGAAGTTGAGTTGTTTGTTTATGAATTTTTTCAATTTAAACTCAAAATGTAACTAAATTTTAACTCAGCATCACTATCCACAACATTATCAATATAATTAGAATATCAAGCAATCATTTTTACACAAATTAACTTTAATTCACTATTCATCTAGTCACATAATTTTAACTAATCACCACTCACATCATCTCTCTCTTACTTTTATATCAAATCAACTTTAATTATTTTATTTTAAATATTATTTTAATATAAAGTCAAATTTCCACTAACAACTAAGGATACACAAAATTGGTTAACCAACCGAAACAAAAAATTCGAACCCAGTCCACATTTTCTTAAAATTTTGGCTTGAGATTTGGTTTGTTTAATAGTGATCGGTTAACCGAACCAAAAACTGATTTAAACATATAATATATATATATATATATATATATATATTATTGGAAATTTTAGAGTTTCAATGAATCTTAATATGGCCTAAGCATTAATCTGCACTCAATATTGGCTTTTTCAGTCCAAATCATGGTTTAGGTACGAGATCTTCCTTAGAGAAGAATTTAGAAATTATTGAGAAGATTAAACAAAGTTATAAAAAATCAAAATTTTGGTTCGATTAAAAATTCGAAATTCAATGAGAAAATTAATTATTTATTCCGATTATCGAATTTTTGGAGCTTAGCCTTAATTGTGGTTTCTTCTACTTATTTGGGCCAACATTTTTATCATTAGAACGCAAGCCTAGGTGAAATCCTCCATATATATAATTTCGGAATGCGCTGAGCCTATGTAGCTGCTTCTGGTGCTTCGAAATCCTATTTGGCGAAGAATCATGCTTCGTAATTAGGTTTGGATAAATAATAGATAAATAATATTGATATATTAATAATTAATAATTTAGGTTCGGGTATTCCATAAATATTATTTAGTTAAATTAGGTATTTTAATATCACTTTTACTAATATAACCCTTTAATTATTTGTAATTTTACATAGTGAGGCACTAAATGACTAATATATCCTTGAATTTTGATTTGTTTCCTTCAATAAGCTATTGAATTATATATGTATTTTAAAAGTTGATAACTTTTGTATTTCTTATCGGTTTTACATATATAATATATCAAATTAATTATTTTTTGATGTATTCGATTTGACATACATATTGTATATATGAAATAAATAAATTATATTTATCTTTATAATAATAAAAAATAATAATATTTATTAAAATTCATAAGAAAATTAAAATTATTTTTCAATTGATATATTTATATGTAATGTAGTTATATATTGTAAGTTAAAAAAAATAGTATAATATAACACAAGTAAGTTGCACAAATAAAAAGTATCATAATAAATATATAATAATATATATATTCTTATAAAATATATTTAAATTTTCAAACTACTTTTTCTTATTAATTTTAAATTTTAAGAAAAAAAATTAACAAGCACTCGTGTAATACACTTGTGTTGTACTGGTTGAAATCAATAATTCAGTGAAGCAATTTGCAATGGATCACACTGTTAACTGTGGCGACTACACAAAAATTTCTCTCCGTTCCCTCGTTGAGCTCCCCATTTTCTCCGGTGAGTGCCAGAGTCTTTCTTTGTTTCTGTAAACTTGTCTTCGCCTTTGTGTTGAGTCTAGGTTTGTTCGATTTAAGCTGAGTGGGGGTGAGGCTAGGGTTTCCGAGTGGTGTTAGGGTTTTTTTGGTGTTAGGGTTTAGGTTTTGAACTACCAGAGCTTTGTTTTTTCTTCTCTACTCAATTTGAGGCTCAGGTTCTTCTCAAGAGTGATAAGAGGTAGTTATGGTGGATGATATTGAGTTAGGGTTCCGAAAACTCTCATTGTCCCACATCGAAGCTACGGCAATAGATTTGGGAGCCAGAGATATAAGGAATAGCAATGAAGAATGTCGACGAAGTCTATTCGGAAAAATTATTGGGCAGCGGAAAGCAAATGTTGTCGGTCTGAGAAGAGTGGTGGAACAGATATGGCAGATTGAGGGAAAGGTAACAACAAGGGAGTTGGGTTTCAATTTTTTCCAGTTCATCTTTACTAATGTTGAAGATATGAACAGAGTGGCTAAAGGGGTGAGCTGGACATTTGACAATCAATTCTTGATTTTAACTGGCTGGAAGGAAGATATAAGAGGAGATCACCCCGATTTTAATGAGATTGAGATTTGGGTCCAGTTGTGGAATATTCCGATCAACTGGTTGAGTTTAGCGGTGGGAATGAAGGTAGGGAAAGTTTTCAAAAGTGTTAAAGATGTGATGATTCCGGATGAAGGGAGTGTAGAAGGTCGATGCATTAGAGTGCTGGCTCGTTTGGATTTGGAGGAGCCTTTACTTAGATGTGTTAATCTGAGATTTGCAGAGACTCGAAAGGTGATAGTATTTCGTTATGAAAAGTTGGTGAATTTTTGTTACTATTGTGGGAAAATTGGACACATCGTTAAGGGATGTGATGCGAGAATATTGGATATCAAGCAGAACAGGTTATGTTCGGGTCAATATGGAGAGTGGATGAAGGCTAAAGATTTCAACAGACGAGCTAGAGATGAGACCAGTAGAAGAAGGGAAGGCCAAAGTGCTATCAATCCGGGCACAATTGGGAAAAAAAGGGATTTTGAAAGCTCCTGTTCAAATAGCTATACCGATGGCCATTGAACCTCAGCCTTGATAAGTGACAGGAGATACAAATTCTGTAGGTATTCTAGTGGATCAGTTCTAATTGTAATGAAAAAGAGAAGAGCCCAATGGGAACAGTTCAAAAGTTGGCAGAACCA